GTGGCTGTTCCAGATTCATATATCGTCTCCATTTGGGAATCTTGGATTTTTAAGAATTATTTTTTGGAAGGCAGGGTGACTGAGTGATAGAGAAAGAGAGAGAGGAAGAGAGAGAGGACATAAATACAGAGCGGAAGAGAGAGAGAACTTCCACCCTCTGGTACATTCCTCAAATAACTACAAGAGCCAGGGCTGGGCCAAAACAAAATCCGGAGACAGGAACTCAGTGTGTAACTCCCACATAGATGACAGAAACTCAAGTATTTGGGCCATCCCGTGCTGCCTACTCAGGTACATTAGCACCTAGCTGGATTGGAACAGACGGGCTGATACCCAAATCGGCAATCGTGTTGGATGGGAGGCAGACATTCCAATTAGCAACTTAACCTGAGGTGCAACAACACCAGTCCCCGGAAATGCTATGAATCGATATATTCAGATGTAATTCATTAGTTACCTCTTAGACAAATCACTTCCTTGAGAATGCCATCACATCATCTCCAGTCTACCCAGCAGTATGTTCTTCGTGCATGTCCCTCCATAACTGTCTTCCCTTTTCCATCAAAAGCTTGCATCAACCCAATAACTTCTCTCTGTCCCCACCATCAGTACCAAAGTTGTTACATCAACAACTTCAACTTTTGCTTTCTCTTGTTCATTTACTCATACATTGAGGTTTTGTCATGATATGGGAGAAAGGGAGAGGGCATGAAAGAGCAGAGAGGTAAAACAAAGGGAAAAAGAGATGAAAGGAAGGAGAGAAAGGGAAGGAAGCAAGGAGGGAAGGAAGCAAGGAGGGAAGGAAGCAAGGAGTGAAGGAAGGAAGGAAGGAAGGAAGGAAGGAAAGAAAGAAAGAAAGAAAGAAAGAAAGAAAGAAAGAAAGAAAGAAAGAAAGAAAGAAAGAAAGAAAGAAAGAAAGAAAGAAAGAAAGAAAGAGAAAGAAAGGAAGGAGTGAAGAAGAGGGGGAGTTTTAGCAAGGGAGGGGGAAACTTTGGATAAATTAGTCTCTCTAAAATCCCTTATTGTGGACTTTTACTGCCTTCTGATAAATTCTGATTGCTTGTTCTTGCTGCTAAAACTCTATGCACTTTTCTGTATATATTTATTTTCTTTAATCTCTAACAACTATACAACTATGCTCTGTTCTGAAATAAGCATTCTTCTTACTCTAGGTTTTGGATTAGGCTGTCTGTCCTTCTCAGGAGACTTTGAAGTCAAATCATTTCCTCTGCTGGCCGACCCTCCCAGCACAGCACACATACTTTCCACATTAGACGCCATCCAACATGCAGACACTATATAGCCTTCTCCAGGCCAGGGAAGAGAAGAACAATAGACTGCACCAGGGCATGATCACAATGCATTTTAAGTGAGATGGATGTCTGTCAAATAAATGTTTTGAAATATTTGATGCATGCCTCTCCACCATCAGCCCAAATGACTAGGTCACCTTGGGAAAGAGCACAAACACAGAGCCAGAATCACTCTGTGAGAACCCAAGAGGAACTGAAGTTCGCAGAGTCTCGTAGCGCTGGAAAAAAGAATCTTCAGGAAAAAGCAAGACAGCAGAGTGTGTGCAACAAGCTGAAGCTGAGCACGCAGAGACAGGTAATGTCAAACTTATGGAATACCTGGGCTAGCGACCAAACTACCGCCTTCTATAATAAAGCCAAAGCTGAATGCTGAAAGTTGAAGAGTTTGTAGCATCGGAATGACAGTTGCAGTCAATTCATTCACTACCGCAACCTGTTTATAATCAGGCGAAAGGAGAGACGAAGTGTGCCGGCTTGTGGTTCTAGAGGCATTTTAAGTGACTTCAAACCCACATTCTGGCACTTGCTATTTCTGTTCCTTAACTTGTCTGTGTCTATACTGAGAATAAATTAGCATCTTGACGTGTTATTCTGAGCACCGTGTCATGCAGGTTGTATGCTTTGAAGAGTGCCTGACAAGTTAGTAACTGACATTGTCTTTTCCACTCTCACACTCTCCATGTCTCCCACAATGCTGTCTTCAGGGCTTCTGTAAACAAAGGTTGAGTTCATTAAATAGTGAAAATAATTGTATATCACTCCTCTGTCTAATATATTCTTCTACCTGTCCTCCCCTGACCATCTTTTACCTTGATTTGGGCTACAGGTGTCTCACCATTGCTCCATGAAAAGCTTTCTCTTTCTTCACCTGTTTCCCATTTCATTGTAGTTTGCTCAATGTATGTTGCTGTACATATTTGTGTATGCATGTGTATATTTCAAATATATATACGTGCATTTATGCACGACATGTAAATATAATAAATATATGCATATTTGAAAAATAGTCTGTTTCCTTAGGTCATGTGTTTAAGTTTACTTACATGAATTTCCATCTGAATCTTCTAGAAAACATAAAGAGACATAAAGAGAAAGCAAGAAATAGAAACACAGATCTTTCACCCACTGGTGAATGACTCAAATGTCCATGCCAGTCACGGGGCTAAGTCTGTGCAGAGCTCAAACCTCGCGGGTGTCAACGACTGGCATGCCTGTGCTGTCACTGGCTTCATCCCAGAGTGCCTTAGGAGGCGGCTGCACTTGATAAGACTTGAGCATGGGACACAGACGTCCCAACTGCCACGACAGTGATGAGTCCATCTCCTGTCAACACGCACAAGTGAAGTGAAATTTATAACTAAGTATAAAAATGTTGGATTTAATGGTTAGACGTTCCTCTCAAGCTTCCTGACACTCTGTACTTGGGAAAGAGAAGTCAACAACTGGGATGACTTCAGCAACCCAGAATCAGCCTGGAGTAGGGTCAGACTCCAGAGGCTTCTGTTTCTGGGACAGGGCCAGTCGGTTCCAGAAGCCCACGTCTCCTTGACGTAGAGCTTTGCCAAGCCCATTCGTCTCCCACTGGCTGCCCAGGAAGGCTGTGGTGGGTGTTCCTCTACGAGTTGGTGTTCCTTTCCACCGAACATGGGCCTCATGCTGAGCACAGAACAGAAGTAAGGCATTGCTCCACTGCTTCCCTACCTTGCTTTCTGCCAGTACACCAAATCCCCTGGCAAGGCTTTTCATAAAGTAAAATTTGAGTGGTCAAGTCAGGCTCACACTTCCATTTTAGCAGATGGTGGCAGAGCATGGCCCAAAGGGACAATTTGGACATCCCAGTCAGTGTTCAGGGCCAGACTGTCATTGCCTCAACATTTGGAACCACTAAAAAAAACTTGTCTCTCTTCAGAGAATTAATTCGGGCCTTGCACAGGAACCACAGGGCTCCCAGGACTTGAGCTGTCTTCTGCTTTCCCAGGAAGCCAGAAGTACAAGTGAAGCCAGGACTCAAACCCATGCCCTCTTATATGGGATGCAGGTCTCCCAAGCAGCTGCTTCATCATTGCATCAAAAGCTCACAGCTACACCAGGTCCTAAATATTTTCAGATACGACACTGTAACTGAATCGTTGAAAAGATATGGCGAACAGTCCAACAGGCCAAAATGTGGTTCCAGGACAGGGCTGTGTCTGACCGTAATTTTAGAATTGTATTTTCCACTCTGAAAGCAAGTATGCAAAGAGTCATGAAAGTTGCTGGAAAATGGAATGACTGAGGAAGAGATTATAGGAGATCAAGCAAAGAGTCCAGGAAGTAGGGCAGATGAAACGCCAAATGCCAGAGCCAACCATGCGTGTCTTGACTCCTGGCATCTTAGGGTATAAGTTGGACCAACTGGAATCCTCTCGCTCTACTGAGAATATGTAAAGATCAGTTTTAGAACAAAATGATGAAAAAGAATAGAAAATAATCATGGTTTAAAGAAAACTCTCACTTTCTAGTTTAACCTTCAAGTGATAGTTACAAAACAGTGAGCACCTGAGATCAGAAAAAAAAAAAAGTTTAGCCCCACGAGGGCCAAGAGTATGTTCACAAAGGCCCTATCGTGCCCTAGTGTGGGCAAAGAGACAAAAACGATGCAGAACAAGAAGGCAGAGAAAGGGAAAAAGCCCCACCTGTTCCCACCTTTTCTTCTTAAGGCACACATTCTTCCCTGACAGGCATGAGGAAGAGGCAACGTTGAGATTTCTCCATAAATAAAGACATTGCTCTGCCCATATCCAGACTTCCACTGCCAGTCTGATGTTTTCTTTCCACAAGCATCTACTGAATCACTCAGTTCTCTACCATACATGTTTACTGTCACCTTTCAATGTGCTGGGTGTTATGGGTTCAGCAGAGAAAGTCAGGGCCACTCAGTGATCAAGAAATACATATGCAGAGCTCTTCCATTGGGTACCACATCCAAGGCTGGGCCAGATCGCAGCCAGCATCCAAGAATTCAGATCAATTCTCTCATACCCAACCCCTGCTGCATAGCAAGGTGTGCTGGCTTGGAAGCCAAGCTAGCCTTGCCCCCAGGCACTCTGATGTGGATGCCCCAAGCAATGACGCCCACCCCAAACCACATCCATCTGGTGGTTTCTCTGCTTGGAGAAAGCTGTAAAGTAAAGCTCTCTGGAAATTGTCTTCTTCATTGTGCTTTACAATGTAAAGATCCCTAAATTCTTTTTCCAGGAAACTGGTCTTGCTGCTGGATTTTTTAATTAGGTTCATGGTGGAATTAGTTGACTATTCAAATGGTTTTTTAGTCAAGTATATTTTCATTTTAGACAGCGCGCAGGGTCAGTACAACATTGTTAGTTGATAGTTCTCAAGACCTAGGGTCCAGATGCAAGTTCTAAAACTCCTTATTCTGGAAATGTCTCATCTTATATGCCATTATCCTTTTGTTGTCTTATTTTTGCCATGATTGAGAGCATTTTTTCATGAGTGGAATTTCCTCACTGTTTGAAACTTAAATGCACACACAGGGGTTTAGCAAACAGAATTTGAAGCACTACCTAAGAAGCTTGCTGATGTGAAATTGATCTTCTAATAAGAGTTCGCTTTCCTTCCTGTTTCCTTTCTTGTACCCTAGGAAGCTGTGAACTCAACCACAGGGGCAGTTTCACTTCAAGTTCAAGACTGCTATGTTCTCTTCTTTCCCTGACAAGCTCACCAGTGGATCCACAAAGCTGTCGCTGCACTCCAAGATGACACACTCACGGAGCTGAACAGTGCTACGCTCTTGTTGGGGAGATCCGGACTCAGAGCTGTGAGTACTTCCTGAGAAAGGCCTTGTTGTTTTACCTTCCTGAGAAATCCCTCTCTTGCTTCTGATGCGACAAAACGAAATTTCTTTTTGTGAAATAAGTAGAATAGTCAATAGTAATACTACTTGGATATAGCAATTTGCAACTTAACAGCAACAATAAATGTTTGGAAGACAATTTAAAAGCTTGCAAAGTATATTCAGATGCATTATTTCATTTAGGACACAAAATCTTAAAAGGTAGGTGTTATTAATAGGTTTTTGTTATAGATGTCAATATTCAAATGAACAAATTTTGGAAACTGATAATGATGATGTAATAGTTGAACAGCACTGGAATACACTAAATGCCACTGAATTGTATACTCAAAGATAGATGAATTGGCAAGAAGTAGGTTACATGTGTTTTTTCACAGCAAAAGAAAAACACAAGGAGAGATCTCCTTCATCCCTGCAGAACAGCCTTATTTAAAATGAGAATGGGAAACCACACACAAAAGGTACAGCCTTGAAGGAAAGGTGTTGAATACAAGGAGGCTGTTCAAATAGGCTCTTCCATGAAGGGGGTGGAGGACCAGACATGACCGGAAAGGAGCCGTGATGCAGTCAACTGTGATGAAGAACTGGGCTTATGCTTGGGAACAGAGCGTAGATGTGAAGCTAACTTTTTGTCAGGGATTAGTGGGAAATTCTTCATCACCTTTGACATAGACTTGAAGGACATTCACTGTTTTAAAACTATTCCTGATCATATTTGCCCCTAGCCCAATATTCACTGTGCCTTAATTCCCAGGGAGTTAGCACTACAGCAAATTTTAACAATCCACAGTAAATTTTAATTTTCACAAATGAAAAGAGTGCTACAATAAATTTTAATTTCCACATTAGTCAAAAGATGGATTTTATAATTCTTTACACTCGGATTTCTTGGGTGTTGTGCTAGTTTATTACTTATACCCCTGCTGGTCTATGTGCCCTAACTAGTGGCACTTGGCTTTTGCCAACAAGCTCATAGATCCAGAAAACCAGGTCACCTAAGATATGTCCTGTTATGTTTTTACTGCTCATCTCTCTCGTGTTTTCTCTCCCATTCTCACTTTAAATCAGGCCATCAATCTTACGCCTTAAAAACGAATGTGCAGCTCCCGTTGCTTTTCAGCCAACATCAACAGGTTGTGTGTAATTCAGGACGTTGCCTATGCTGTGTCTACCCTGTTCCTCTTTCACTATTTCCATCTGAACATTGTTACAGATACATGTAGAGCCCTCTTTCACACAGTGGGGTCCATAGAATAGCAGTGAATACTTCTTGAAAAAGTTATTCTATGATACAATCCTTTTGGATGCTTTTACTTGAAACGGATTTTTTTCTCTACAAAAATAACATGCAAGACCCATCGGGTCAGACCATTACATGCCTTGTTCTCTGCTGTGTCTTCAGGGCCTGTAATAGTCCATGGCACTGGGACGCAGTGACTGACAGGAGAATGGGTGAATGGTTTCTGAGCCTAAAGAGCCTCAGATCCATTACAAGTGCTCAAGAGAGGAATTCTGTAGCTTTCTAAACAGTTTTGATTGTGTAACTCTTTTTTTCTTTCCCACCCAAAACACAGCATACTGAGGCAAATCCTGCTGAAGGGCCTCCTTAATCATATGTTTGATCCCACGTGGATTTTAGGATTGCTGTAGGTAACAGACATTGTGATGACATTGATTCTTCCCATTCGCGAGGAAGGAATATCTTCCCTTTCTTTGTGTCCTTGCTGTTTCATCAAGGTTCGATCATTTGCATTGTAAAGGTCTTTTACTTCTTTAGTTAAAATTTTCCAAACTGTTTAATATTTTTTTTGTAGTTACTGGGAATGGGACTTCTTTATGGATTGTTTTGTGAGTTTATCACTAGCATCCAGAAGGCTACTGTCTACGTTTCTGTGTGTTTATTCTGTAACCTGCAACTTGATTGAATTGGTTCATCAATTCTAACAGCTCTTCCGGTCATCTGCCAACATGGGTAATTTGACTTCCTATTTTACAATTTTGGTGCTCTTTATGTCTTTTTCCTCCCTAATTACTCTTGCTGAAACTTTGAGTGCCGTATCGGATAAGTGTGGTGAAAGCTGACATCCATGGTTTGGGTTTTTCTCCATTCAATATGAGATGGAATACTAGTTTGTGAAATGAAGGCTTCATGATTTTGAGGAATGTTAAACAATTGTGTAAAATTAAATTATTCAGATTTTTTCTCAAACATCAGTATTGCCAACTCTAAATTTCCCTCTAAGAATTGCATTAGCTGTGCATCATATGTTTTTATTTTGCTATGTGTCCATTTTCGCTCATCTCAATTTATTTTCTTTTTAAAACATGTGTGTGTGTATATATATATATATTTGAGAAGCAGAATTATAGACGGTGAAGGGGACAGAGAGAGAGAGAAAAAACCTTCTGTGGCTGACTCCTGCCCCCAAAAGGCTGCATCCACAGGGAGCTGGAACAAACGAGTCATCATCTCTGGCACACACTAACATGGAGTTACTGCAGCAAAAGCAGATTATGGGGGATCACATTGTGGTGCAGTGTGTTAAGCCACTGCCTGCAATACCGGCATCCTGTATGAGCGCTAACGAGTTTAGCCTCTCAGCTTCCCATCCAGCGCTCAGCTGGGAAAGCAGCCGCAGGTGATCAAGTACGTGGACCCTTGCCGTTCCATGTGGGAAATCTAGATCACCTCCGGTCTCCCTGGCTTCAGTCAGGCCAGCAGTCAGAGGAGTAAGTCAGTGAATTGAAGATTATTCTCTCTCCTCTCTCTGAATTTCTGCCTTTCAAATAAACAATTATCTTTGAAAGCGAATTTCTGGGCTTGGCATGATAACCCAAGTGGCTAAATCCTTGCCTTGCACCCACTGGGATCCCATATGGGCACTGGGTTGTATCCCAGAAGCTCCACTTCCCATCCAGCTCCCTGCTTGTGGCCTGGGAAGGCAATAGAGGATGACCCAAAGCCTTGGGACCCTGCACCCGCATGGGAGACCCAGAAGAGACTCCTGGATCCTGGCTCTGGATCAGCTCAGCTGCAGCTGTTGTGGCCACTTAGAGAATGAACCAGTGGATAAAAGATGTTTCTCTCTGCATCACCTTCTCCTGGTCCCTATCCCCTGTTTCGCACCATCTGAGTCAGAGCTCAGGCTGTAAAGGATTCTCTTGTATTTGCCCACCTCCCTCCAACAGTAATGCATGATTTTGTTCACATCTTTATCTTCCTGGACTGTGAGCTCCCAGGAGCCAATGTATGTTCCATTATCTATTTTCAGAATTTATTCTAGTACCTAGAAAGCAGGAGGTTACATTCTGTTACCTGGTGTTTATAGCTTGTGATGGTTTTTCTCAAATTGTACTACCTTGCCTTTTATTTATTTGCAAATATATTAAGCTTCTACCATAGATACTAAGTAAAATCAAATTCTTAAAGTTGAGCAGCTTATAATTCTGTGGGGCTCATAAATTCGTCTAATCAGAACAATATTGCTGAGCGCTGGAATAAAGACGATTGTTGGAACAAAAGAGAGCAAGCCTACCATTCGTGAGGCTTGATGGTAGATTTTAAAGAGAAAGATGCATCTTTCCATGATCTCAAAGAATGAACCAAATACAACAAGAATATTATCCACCGCTTGGTTCCAAATGCCCCCTTCAGAAGTAACCAGGGGCCTTAGCATTCTGAGATGATGTCAGGAACCTAACTGGTTTTACTAACATCTGTTCTGGTAAAGAACTGAAAAGAGGAGAGAGAGAACTAGCGATTTTCACTGTGTGATGTTTTGATTTATTTATTTTTAATTTCTTTTTTACTTGTTTTACTTTTTTATAATTATCATATTATTATCATTTTATGATACAGTTCCATACACCCTGCAATTTCCCCCACCACTTCCCCTGTTGCCTCCCCCTGAGTTCTTCCATTTCATTTACAACAGCATAGTTCCTCATAAGCAGTCCTAAGTCCGTCATTGTGGGCATGGACAGTGGCAGAGTCCAGCATCCAACAGTTTCACTGAGAGTCCATCCTTGATCCAGAAGTAGAGATGCCCATTGCAGCATGTCCTCATGTCTGGACATGTCAGTCTCCACTACACAGTCTATAAATCGCCTCCCCAAGCGAAAAGCCACAAAACAAAACCAACAACAGAAAGAAAAATAGAAATTTACAATGCCATGACATTAAGCAACATGCCACTGGATATGATAGTCTCCAATACACAGTTACTATACATCCCCTTCAATGAAAAGCTACAAAACAAAATCATCAACAGAAAGTAAAAATAGAAACTTAGAATGCCATGAAGTTAAATATCATGCTACTGAATTTCATTGAATAAATGAAAAAGAAAATCAAGAACCTTCTTTTGTTCGTGGTCATTGTAATTCTGTTTAGCAGATTCTTCTTCTTGGGGCAGGTTTCTAAACTGTGTCATCCACAGGTCTGCAATTGGATTTTACGTATTGTGCCACTGCCTCCAGCGAGTTTAAGATCTGGCTCTTAAGTTAGGCTTCCACCATGGTCTCCGTCGCCCCAGCTCCTGGCTCACCACCCTCTACGATCCTGCGATCCTGTACTATTTTTGAACCGTTGTCTGTACAACTTTTCTGCCAGTTCCAGTTCATGCAGTTCCCAGGATTAGGGGACACCAGGCAGGTGTCCTGAGTAGCTAGATTGCTGGCAGTACTCATCTTGGTGGAACCTGTTAGTCATTAGATCTGAGTCTTAATATGCCAAAATCAGTATAGTTTCCTTGTGGGACCAGTGTAATACACTGAGATCAGTGAGTTCACTCCAGGCTCAACACATGCACAGCTCACTGTTGTCCCTACAGTCTCAAAGCCTTTGGCAAGAATGTACAAAATGGCACCTGATGTGCAACTCATGGAGTTCTTGATCTGCTGACCATTAGGTCTGAGGCTCATCCAGACCTATTTTGGGTGGAACCTGTTATTGTTTTTCCATG